AAGCTAATCTAATAAGAGCAACGCAAGTATGACTTGGGCATACAGAAGGCTGAGAGACCTCGTGCGCGAAGACCCTCGAGCAGTGCTACTGTTTGCCTCTCTCCTGATCTTGAAGTTCATGTAGCCATTTCTAACGGGAGCCTCTAAATGGATAGAAACTCCCTGTCATTACACTCTGCAGACGCCCACGTGCATCAAGTTCTTCATCCCGGCAGGGCCAGAGCTAGGCCCAAAATGAGGGGGCTTCAGCCCCCTCCCTCGTCAGGGGGCTACCCCGCACAGCTCCATCGAAGTTGGTCACATTACTACTAAATTGACGAACGTGCTCATCCAATAAACGTCTTGCACGCGTCCTCATGGTAGTGCAATGCCTTATAGTTTCGGGGTGCTACTTCGTTGCGAGTATACTTCACTGATTTCTGAGTAATTCCACATAAATCTTACTTTTGAGTTAGGAAAGCTGCCACGTCCGTCATCGCCCCCCCAACCAAGCCAATGTCGTACAAGGTTCATCGAGCGGCTATTGTTGACGCACTCGACCACATCGGTCTACGCAGCAGGGCCAAAACACATTTAGGCAGAGGATCGGGCTCCCGAATGGCAGACCTTGGGGGGTGCCAGTGAAGCTCAGATACGGCGCCTAGGGAGGTGGAATCCTCAGGCGATGGAGAAAGGTTACCTCACCTCGCTACCGCGAGAAGCAATGCGAACGCTTGCGGGCTTGAACGAGGAAGAGGTAGTTATTTGCTGGCGCGTACTTGCGTTGATCCTCCCCAAGCTCTTCAGAAACGTATTTTTCCGTTGGTGGAGGAGTGGCAGTCGAAGATGACTTCAGGTGAATGTGAACAGTCAATCGCGGCTGGTGGTTTTCTCGAGCTGCTTCAGTATCTGCGCACCGTAATTCTGCAGGATGCTGCCATTTTGTCCGAGCAAATGCCGGGACATCCGATTTGGAACAATGAGATCTTCAAGAGCGATCATTTTGAACAATTCCAGCTGGAAATGAAGAATGTCATGAACCACGTTAGTGACCCCACCGAGCGTCAGCTTAAGAAAGCCATGCCCGCGCTGAAGTCGACGCTCGATGGTGTTCGACAGGAGATGAGAGCATCATTGAGTGGTATTCGAAATAGCTTGGACGCGGTTGGTGAAAGTGTAGCAGATGTCATGGAAGTTCTTGCCCCACTCAGGAATGGATCAGCATTTGTGGAAGTTAAGATCGTGAATGGCTTACAATCGACAACCCCCAGCGCCACCCAAGCCGCCTCCGGAGCTAGCTACACCCAGTGACCCCTCTGCGATTACCAGTTACAGACTCAGTCGAGGCATTCAATCGGTTCGTGAGTTGTGGACCGAATGGACATGCGGCGTCCCTGGTGGTTATGCAGTTGAAAAGCTGGAGTAACAGCTCGGTACCAAGTGGTGTGACCATCACGAGAGACGCTTCTTCAACCGACGACGAAAAACTATTGATCTTGTAAAGATCATCGCTAGCTGGGTTTGCAACCACGAGGCGTTCGGCAAATATCAGGCAGTCGAAGAGGCGATTAAGCGTGTTGACAGCATCCGCTGTATTCGCAAAAAAAATCGCTCAATTGAGTGTCTCAAACGTCGAGTGTGGCCTAATCTGTACACGATGCTAGCAACCTCTGGACAATTCCGGAAGAAGGGCGCTGGTGGCTCTAAGCAGTAGATCTGTTTGGTGCTGTACTGGAAGCAAACCGACTTGGAGGACCTCGCACGAAAGATCCCAAAGCTGGACGAGAGCGATACTGCCAACCGGCATTTCGTGACCGGTGGAAGCCTTCGCGATTTTTTGATGGCGGTGGCTGCTTCTAGAGCTCTAATTGAAGCAGCATTGGGTGAACTCACTTTGGATGTAGCAACATTGCTGATCAGACCGCGTGGATGCAGCTCAGACCAGCAGATTGACCGCATTCGGATGATGGGGGTTGCAAACCCTACAAGCGTCGATCATTATATCCGTCCGTTGTTTTGGAGACCGTGTATAACGTCGGTGATGGCGATGAGACACCTGATAGATACGGTGAAACCCGACTATTTCCAAAAGCTTCTTGCTCTGGCGAAAGACTTGGACGACGATAAACTACATGGCGCTGTGCTCGAATACTTGTTCCGCTCGCTTTTACGCCACCATCATTCAACTCGCATATCGTAATTTAAGTACGACAATGTAAATCGGAGTAGTGTTCGGAACTTTGAGAGCATCATGATGGCGGATACAGGTACGGTAAAACTCGACCGTTCGATCGAGTCGCGCGAGCCGCCACTATTCCAGCGCTCGGGTGAGACGATTGAAGACTTCGTAGCGGTGATAGAGAGGTGGGCTGCAAACCCTGCCGAGATGGACTACTGGATCCCTGCGTCCAGCGCGTGTCCAACAATAGATGCTGTCGCGAAGTGGAAGTTTACGAGCGACTCGGTGGACTCGTCTACAATGGGGCCCACGGTGGAGCGTTTATGCTTGCTCCAGATGACGAAGGCCATTAAACACAAGTGCGACGAAACGATCCTTTGGAAATTTGCGAAGACATTCCTAGAAAAGCGAAAGCAAGTGTGTTTCATGGTCCTTCTGTGGGACGATGATTTCGACCGGAGTGCGATAACTCAACGTTGGTCGTTCAGATTGGATCCAGTGGTGATCACGTTGGACGAGGGCAGGGCCAGCATTCCCCTGTACGTTGCGGCGGCTCAAATGGATGAAGACTCGTTTTACGGTTGAGCTTCGCATCGATCCATACCAAGCATGATTTCTACATGTAGTCGTCGTATTACGTAGTACAATAGAAATAGTGAACCGGGTCAAGCGGCAATTTCTTAAGAACATTTTTAATGCTAAATTTTTAAGAACATTTTTAATGCTACTAATACCGGGAGGCAGGGCTCCCGAGTACGTTGTACGTCGCTCATCGCCATCGATACTTGGAAAACGGCCTCAAGCTCACTGGGACGTGCTGAACGGTGGCCTTAACCCTATTATGGTTGGTGGTCCTAAAACCTTGCAATATGCTTGGTTTTACAAATTTAATCCAATCAAATCACCCCTCTATTGATTTTGACCTATTATATCACTTGCGTAAAACCAAGCATATTGCGAGGTTTTACAACAATAATTGCAATAATTATTGGTAAACCCCTGCAAAATGATATATTATGCTGCGGGGTGCGGAGCAAAACCAAGGATTTATGCATGTTTTACACTTTACTATAGGGACTTCGGTATACAAAATCCAAGTATAATATTGATCACTAAAGGGTTAAGTGGCAAAAGACTGCCTCAAATTGCTCAAAACCGGTCGCACTCCGTGAAATCGTCTGGAATAACGTCTCGAACGCGTACATATCACAGCACGGTATCCCTGGGCTTCGCATTTCGCCTGTAGCGGAGCCTTCCATGAATACCATATATAAGCCTGTGCTGGAAGCTTTGCAAGTACTCCCAAAGGACAAGAACGAACGCGAGATTTCTTGGGCTTTGTTTTCGCTATTTTCGAGCATCACTTCGACGGAGCTGAA